TCGTCTGTCCAACTCATACTGTCTTCTGTTGTCCTCAGCGCTGCTGTCGTCTGTCCAACTCATCCTGTCCTCTGTTGTCCTCTCAGTCCAACAGGTGGAGGTGGACTCAGGGGTGGAGTGTGTCCTGCTGCCGTGCTACAGTGCTGTCCCCCTTCCAGAGGACGCTACGGTGCAGTGGGTGGACAGAGGACAGAGGAAGGTCCATGTGAACGAGGACGGCTTTGATCATCCGGAGGAACAGGACCCTTTTTACGAGAACAGAACCCAGATGAAGGAAGACCTGCTGCGAAGCGGAGACCTCAGTCTGACCCTGAGACACCCCACAGACGAAGACAGCAACGTCTACACCTGCAGCGTCTACAACAGGGAGAGGAAGATCCTGATGAAGAAACAGGTCCAGCTGAAGGTCAAAGGTCAGTCATCCAGGAAGTGGATAGGAGCAAACTAACCGGACTTCCTTCCTAAAGGGTGTTTCAAGCTCAATAAGCAGCTAGACGTCTGGAAGCTCCTCCCCCTTTATCGTCTGTCCCCTCTGACCATCTATGGACATTCTGGTCCTCAGCAGAGTGTCCCCCGTCCCTGATGTCTCGCTGAGTCTCATCCTGTGGAGCTTTCTGTCTGTTTTGTCCTTTAGATGAGCAGATCTGAGAGCTAACAGCAGCATTAGCCAGATTGGTCCTTTAGTTCTCAGTGTTCATCAGGAACGCCTGCTGTATGAAGTGTTTGGAAGAGGGAGGGACCTTCAGCTCAGCTCTTAGAGCTGATTGGGTAGCTCACCTGGGGGCACCCGCCTCCATGTCCACCTTTGAGCCAATCAAAGCAGCAGAAGCCCAGTCCTGATTTAGCTTCCAGAAAGGTAAACCTGCATCCTTTTGCTTGTTTAAAAAAAGAAGTAATGGAGGCTATTCCAGCTAAAACGGAGCAGCCATCTTTGTTTATCTCCAGCCTCCCGCCTCTGGGTGATGTCATACAGGTCGCTGCATTTCATTGGTCTGAAACATTTCTGGAAGGAGGCTAATCCACCTGTTGGCTCTTGGAAAGGTGCAAATCCAGATGTTACACATCCAAATCCTCTCTACGTGTTTACGGATCTCACACGGCAGAAATGCAGCAAAAATCCACCTGGACTTGTAACCAATGATTTGTCCGCATTTCTGGGTCTTGAAGCAAAAATACTTCAGACATAAATGTCTCTGTGTTTGTGTACAGATTGATCGACACATTTCTAAATCTTACTACACATTTGTTAATCTGAATACAGGTTTGTGATTTTTTTACAAATTTCCAAACCAAATTACACTCAGTAGTTTTAAACATTTGCAGATTGTTTTACAGACACACATACCTCACACATTTAGTTTCCTTTACACATTTTCTAATCCCACTGCACACACACCAATAGAGATACAGATAAACAACTCTCCACACATTTACAAATAAAAAGCAATTATTTTGTCGTTAAAAAGCAGCTATAGATACATCTTCCCATTTTTTCATGCAAAAAATGACGGACATCAGAACTCAATCCCTTCCACTTATTTATATCTAAAAATACCATCTGATAAAAATCCAGTCCGCGTTTTCAACACAGCCTTAGTGCAAACAGCCGAGGACATTCCAGGATCAGATCCAGTCCATATTTTAGCACCAGCCCACCTGTTCACTGTGCTGAGAACAGCACAGTGAACAGGTGGGAATTTATGATTTGAATCAAAGAACTTGATGAATAAACAGCAGCTGGATTAAATTATTAATCTGGATATTTTAGGATCAGATTAAATTAACCTTGTTTTTAATCTACATCTAGAGCTTTTTTTAACTGAGCTTTACTCCTAGTTTATCCTCCTGATTTAGTCCCAGTTTTAGTCCATGTTTTGCTCAAAAGTCAAATAATTATTGTTCAGTCTAGTTGAATAATCTCCTGTTGGATTTTAGGACTAATTAAACCAACACAAATGTCTAAAGCTTCCATGTTTGCCTCACAAACCCATAGAATCCCAATTTTTCCTCTTAGTTTCAGTTAAATCCTCTAAAAACCTCCAACCCAGAGCTGCACGTCCTCATAGCATCTCTATCTAAGCCTGAGGTTAGGCTCGCCTGTCCAAACTATTTCAGTTTAACTCCAAGGTTTGGTTAAAGATGGCCGCCCTGGTTCCATGAACTCAGAGGAGCTCTGCTGACTGGGAAACTGCAGCAGCAGGTGGATTCCTGCCAGCAGAGGGCAGCACCACAGAACCAGCTGTGGGATTTCCACTGAGCAGATAGAGCAGGTGTGCCTGATGTGGGTCGGAGGGCCGCTAACCTGCAGGTTCTAGAGGTTCCTCAGCTTTAGCACAGCTGATTCTGATAATTGCAGATTTTCATTAATAGCCTGTTAATCGGCTATCAGTGTAAATCAGCTCTGCTGGAGCAGAAAACCTCTAAAACCTGCAGGACAGCGCCCCCCCAGGACCGACCTAGACATAGATATAGAACAGGACAGAACCAGACCTTCTATGGCCGGTCTAATCTGACTGAACCCTCATAGAGAGAAGGTTTAAATGAATGAGGCGTTCATCTGATCCACCTGCAGAGAGAATCAGGCTTTAAATCATGAGAAAATGTGCTGCAGGTCCAAAAGAACCGTGGGAACTTTAGAACACCTGCAAAGCTTCATCTCATCTTCTGGTGTCCTCAGAATACACGGTGGAGGTGGATTCAGAGGCAGAGTCCGTCCTGCTGCCCTGCAGAACCACGCCCCACCTGCCAGAAGACGCTAGGGTGGAGTGGACGGACAGAGACGGCGGGAAGGTCCACGTCTACCAGACCGGTTCTGATCGTCCTGAGGAGCAGGATGAGCTCTACAGATACAGAACCAGGATGAATGTGGACCCCCTGAGAACAGGAGACCTCAGTCTGACCCTGAAACCCCCCACAGATGGAGACTCCACCACCTACACCTGCAGCGTCTACAGCAGGGACGGAGACATCCTGATGAAGAAACAGGTCCACCTCCAGATCAAAGGTGTGAGGGTTAAACCTGAGGACCAATCAGGTGGTCCGCTGTCCCCTCATTGGTTCTGATAAACAGGATGTTAGCTGGATGTTAGGAGGCAGCCAATCAGATGGCACAGATTGATCTAACCTGCAGCTTTACTTTAACATTATCATAAATCTGTTGTCTGTTTAATTTCTTTTCTATGGTTTCCTCAGGCCAACAGGTGGAGGTGGAGGAGGGGGCGGAGTCTGTTCTACTGCCGTTCAGAACAACACCTGATCTACCTGGAGATGCCAGAGTAGCCTGGGGTCACAACAAACCCGAACTAGTGATGTTGGTCCATGTGTACGAGAACGGCTCGGATCAGCTGACCAAACAGGACCAGCTTTACAGAAACAGAACCGAGATGGACGAAGACCCGCTGAAAACCGGGGACCTGAGCCTGACCCTGAGGCGGCCCTCAGAGAGGGACAGTGGAGTCTACCGCTGCGGGGTCTGGAGGGAGGAAACACTGCTGAGAGAGAAAACTTTCCTGCTGAAAGTCAAAGGTTGGTTGGTTGGCTGGTCGGTCGGTCGGTCGGGTGGTCGATTGGGTGGTTGGTTGGTCGGTTGGTTGGTTGGTTGGTTGGTTGGCTGGCGGGCTTACTGGTTGGTTGATTATATGGCTTACTGGTTGGTTGGTTGGTTGGTTGGTTGGCTGGTTGGTTGGTTGGCTGGTTGGTTGGTTGGTTGGTTGGCTGTGTGGCTGGTTGGGTGGTTGGTTGGTTGGTTGGTTGGCTGGCGGGCTTACTGGTTGGTTGATATGTTGATTATCTGGCTTACTGGTTGGTTGGTTGGTTGGTTGGTTGGTTGGTTGGTTGGCTGGCTGGTTGGTTGGTTGGTTGGTCGGCTGGTCGGTTGGTCGGTCGGGTGGTCGATTGGGTGGTTGCTTGGGTGGTTGCTTGGTCGGTTGGTTGGTTGGTTGGTTGGCTGGCGGGCTTACTGGTTGGTTGATATGTTGATTATCTGGCTTACTGGTTGGTTGGTTGGTTGGTTGGCTGGCTGGTTAGTTGGTTGGTTGGTTGGCTGGCGGGCTTACTGGTTGGTTGATATGTTGATTATCTGGCTTACTATTTGGTTTGCTTTATTAATCTGTCTATCTGTCTGTCTGACGGCCATCTGTATCATCTACAGGGAGAGCTTCAGTCCAGAATCAAAGCCTATCAGGAACTGATGTTGCTCCCCTCCTCTGACTCCTCATCAGGCTGCCTGACCTGTTTGCTGAAAGATCGTCCATTAGCAACACAACAGGACTTTGGATTGGAGGGAAAGCTGGGGAACTAATAAGCTCTGGGTTCTGACCCAGTTTCAGACTCTAGTCTGATCAGTTTGGATCAGGAATGAATTAGTTTCATGAAGTATATCTAAGCTGAAACTGAAGGGAAGAAGTTATCAGACGGAGGTAAGTGAAGGTAAACAAACAAATATCCATAAATCAAATAATCTCAGACACAAGATTACAGACTGGGATTAACTGGTCCTAAATCTAAACCTCATCTCTGATGAGGCAGATTATTAATAAAGCTGTTAGATGGTCGACGGCGCCTGCGTCTCTGATGGCTGAATGAGCGCCTCATTAAGGTCACGTTATGAATCAGAGATGCTACCAACATCTGGATTCCTTCAGCTGACACTGCGCTCTAGAATCAGGCTCTAGAAGCTGATCTAATTATCTCATTTCTATAAAGCGACACATGGAAGCAGCCTGTTTTCCTTGCATGTCTTCATGCAGCTGAAGAAACTAAATGTTTTTAGAAACTGATGTGAGCTTCGTTCTCAGGGCTGATTCATGTTCTGTCTTCTTGTTTTAATCATCTCAGTTTTATTATTTTAAATGATTTATTTTAATGAATCTGAAAACTAATAATGTAACTAAAATAATCTGTGGCTTATTGGTTCATTAATAAGTGACATTTAAAAATAAAGAGTATGGAGGAACCTTTGATGTTTGAGTTTTATTTTAATGTGTGAACATTTAACCTTTGACCCCTGCTGGTAGTTGGTAGTTAGCTTTAGATGAAGAGAGCTGAGGTGTTTTCCTCCCCAGTTGCTCCTGGCAGAAGGTCCAGAGGTGGTTTCCTCCCCAGTCGCTCCTGGCAGAAGGTCCAGTTCTCCATCGCTGCTGCTGCTGCTGGTTCTCCGTCCAGCAGACGTTCCACCGATGCCGTTACCATGGTGATGTCATTTTTCTGGGTAGTAGTGGCGTGTCAGCGCCCGCAGGACGTGGTTCTCTCTCTCCAGCTGCTGGTTCTTCTCCTGAAGGTCTCTGATGTGCTCCTTCAGAAGCTCCACCTCCTCTCGCACCGCCACCATCAGGTGACTCTTGGTCAGGTCCTGCAGAAGCAAAGGGGACAGCTGGAGACGGTCCAAGACATAGAGGGACAGAGTCTGTCTGTCCAAAGGTCCAGTAGTTAGATGGTGGTCCCAGCCAGTCTTCAGGGTCCGACTGACCCACAGAACCAGTAGAACTTCAGCTAGAGTAGAAAACCTAGACCTGAACCAGAACCAGACTCACCATGGCTTGCTGGATCTTACTGTCGATGGCTGGACTGGCGGGTCTGAGGACACACAGGAGACACTGATTAATGTCTGGCAGTTCCTCTATCTCCTCGCTAATAGTCCTCCTTCTCAGGAGTTCTGAAGGTCTGAGGCGCTTTAGGGGGAACCTTCATCTACTGATGGAGATCAGAACCTCATGGTCCAGCTTTGATGCTCACAGAATCTGCTGCAGTACCTTACCTGTTGGATTGGACCTCAAATGTCACCTTACGCTGCCCTCTGAACCCACACAGGTTCATCACTAGGGGTGGACACAACAGCCCTGAGGACGTCCACAGCCGCCGTGATGAGGAGCTGATCAGCCCTCTACCAGTGGTCATAATGTTCTGCCTGGTTGGTGTCCATGAGGTGACGGACAGGAACCGTTTCATAGACCCTGTTAGGGACGTCCACTACTTCTGGTTCTGATAAAACCCAACAGAACACACCCAGGTTGACTAGCAGCGTCTCACCTGCTGTCCTCCTGCTGGATGAAGACGGTTTGGTCCAGACTGGAGGCTGAAGGGGGGTGTAGGGACATCAGGGAGGGACGGCAGCGTCCGGTGGGGGGAGAGCCGGGTAAAGACTGGGACATCCTGAAGGAAGGCTGGGACACAGAGAAACAGACAGGTGAGACAGATGAGACACAGAGAGAGACAGGTTAGACACAAGGAGAGAGACAGGCATTGTGGACGTCGTTATGTCCAATTAATGTTTTCCTCCAACAGTGAGACACACCATTGTCCCCGGTATCCTGAGGGACACCCAGTTCTGACCATAGACCAAGAAATAAACCTGGGTTTCATTTCTGAAATAACAGAAATCTCTTGACCGGACCGGTGACTGAAACACGTCCTAGACCCGGAACCTGGTTCTTCTCTGACAGAGACCAGACCTCCTGGTTCCACTAACAGTCAGTCGTCCAGGTTCTGTAGCAGGTCCAGGCCATAACTCTACCACCTCCATGTTTGGTTCTGGTCTTCCATTAAAGTCCAGTCTCTCTGTCTAACTAATTAATCCTGACCTCTGACCTTAACAGGCTTTAAAGCTCTAGATGTTTTCCTCGGTTCATCTCAGATCACCTGGACGAGTGGCTGATGACCTCTTAGAGCCATTCTGGTGGAACTGCCTCTTCCTGGACAGGTCTCCACTGATCCATGGAGGAGGTTGTGAAGCCTTGCCTGGTCTGGTCTGACCTTTCTACCTCTACTGAACCCAGAAAGCCACTACTGCCCCCTGCTGGAGCTGCTGAGCACTCTCCGTCTGGGTGGTTTAAACTTTGCAGAAAGAGATGAAGCAGATTTAAGATGGCCTGTTCTCTGAGCAGAACCTGGAGGACAGATGTTCAGGTTTGGACATGTCTAACATGGCCTCCTTGATGGAACTAGGAACCCACCGTTCTGTTCTGTTTGATATCTGAGCTCTGATTGGCCTGTGTGTTTTGTACCTACCTGTCCAGGTGTGCCAGCGTACGGTCGTAATGGAAGCGGGAAATTCTGTGGGCGAGGTGGGGCCGTTGTAGGGGCGGGCTCTAAACTGGGTCCTCTGATTGGCTCTTTGTCCTTAACCAGGTGGTTTGTCTCCGGCTGTGTCGGAGATGGTGGTCCACTTGATGAAACAAGCCCCACCCCTTTGATTCCTTTTGATGGCAGAGCCAAAGGGCAGGAAGTGTACTGAGGAGTGACTCCACCCTTTTCCAGATCCATGATATCCAAGGAATCCAAAGAATGGGCGTTTCTTAGGCTGTCCATCATCCATCTCATCCCCGCCCCCTCAAACTGCTCCTTAAACTCTTTGCATGTCCATCTCCCACGCCTATAAGAGCCCCGCCCACTGCTGCTGGCCCCGCCCTCAGTCAGCCTCACCAACCTAAACCTGGAGGGGGAACTGGCGCGCTGTCCTAGAGCATCATGGGAAATGTATTTCTTCTTTGAAGATGGAGTGGTGGGCTGAGAGGAGCTTCCCTGGGGGCTGATTGAGGAGGAATGACCTGATTGGTTGGGCATAGTTTCTCTTGGAGATGATTGGTTGATTGGAGATGTTAGGTGGACGGAATCAGAGGTGACACTAGTGATCTGAAAGCCACTCTTCCTTTTGGTGCCACTCATCTTCACTGAAGACAGCCTGCAGACTCCCTTAGAGACAGACAGCAGAACCACCGGTTAGT